TCTGTGCCCCCCCCCCCCACTTTAGTTCATAGTTGTCTTACTGCGGGACATGTCTGAGCTCTGTGATGGAAAATTAACATGCATCACAGTCAAATGGCAAACTTTTCTGTCCGCAAAAACACACACACACACACACACACACACACACACACACACACACACACACAGGCATTCGGGCTGCCTCATTGGCCTCCAGAAAGAAACTACTCAAGACTAATGCAGCTTTACAATTACCAAATATAAAAAGAAGCCAAAAGTAAAAAATGCTGATCGATTCATGCGCTCTTCTGTCACTAAAAAAGCTAGCCCGACTCCAGTTGCTCATGTGGCCACGCTCCTGAAAGGCACACATCTAATAAAGCATCATTCATCTTATTTCGACATTCTCACACCAAGTATGCAATTGGTCTCTTGGTCTGCCTCACTCCCTGATGTTTGGATTTTGGTCTGTTATACTGCTGCTTCTCCTCCCTCCTCCCAGCCTGGTGAGAAGACAGAGGCAATTCTCATGTAATTTTGCTCATTTTATGAGAAGCACCAAAGTGAATCTTTACTGTTCATGTAGCCAGTGTTTACTGCTCCGGGGAAAGGTTATTTTATGTTTCTTGATTTGTGTTTTATTTTTAATTGTTAGTCCTGCCAACTGGAAAACAAATTGGGGATCACAAAGTTCTTCATTATAGTTGACAGAATATCTCATGTATTTTTGCTAAAAAAACAAAAACAAGAAACGTTCTTCATAGTTACAGTTTATTAGTATTTTCCATCACAACATCACAAGCAAATGACACCATTAGCATTTTTTTCTCTTTTATGGGATTAGTAAACCAAGGCAAGATGACAACTGTTGCTATGGTAATCAGACACCCCCCTCAAAATAAGATCAAGTCTATCAAGTCCATTCCTTTTTGCAGATTCCTCAATCGTGAGAGTACATGAGTGTTTTGCATGATTTTGTCATTAAAATGAAAATGTTTCTGCTGTGTGCTTAACCTGGCCTCTGCTCCGTTCACAAGTGATGGATGACGCAGCTGCAAGCGGCACCAGAAGAGAAATCAGGCCACGCTTCAATTATGATGGAGCTCGCGATTGATCCCATTTCACACTTATTTGCCCATCTGTTTTATAAGTCACGTTTGACTCTTCTTCATCTTTGTAGTTCATGTGTTGTAAAAGCATGCATATAATTGTCTAATCCTCCACACCGGGTGGAAAATAATGATGCCAAAATGAAAGCTTGGCATGTCCTTATTAGTTAACTGTTATGCATGGCATCTTCTGTCATTATGAGGGTGAATATCAACCTGCTTAAACCTGATTAACTGTCTGTTTTCTTTCAATCTACATTGTCACCGCAGTGTCTACAGTTCCCACTTGTGCAGCAATGTGTTTTTACAACAAACTATAAAACAGATTCTGTGAAATGCAAATAACAATGGCAGGCCGTCCGAGTGTTCATTCGATGTCCAGGACAACTTTTATACGGAAAAAAATCAAATAAAATTGTGAACCGATCTCACAAAGACCATTTTGGCTCAAATCCAGATCGTCTCACCTGCTGGTAGCCAACGACAACGCCGTGGTCGATCGCTACTATTGTCACGGCAAACCAGCAAAAGAAATCCTCAATCGTATATTTTTTTTTATCGCTGCGTAAGGTCGGATTGATAAAGCATGATGTGCGCATGCGCGGTAAACCGCTGTACGGGTTTTTGTTGCTTTGTGAATGGAATCGTAATCATTTATAAGGGCAGCTATTAGCCGAAATGGACAGGTATGTGTCCTACGAGTGCACTGAAATGTCCATGTAGTAGTACACTCTTTATCCTCAACAGTAAGATAATTCAGTGAAGTTGGAGAACAAATAGGGCGCACTAGTTGAAAACTAGAAACCGTGCTCTTCTTGACAACTGTGTGCTATTAGTACTAATAGTATTGTGATTAAGTTTTACTAGTTAACAAGTGCAGATTTCAACAAATAGTTATTCTACTACATAGTACGCCTTGGTTGTCCCCCTACGATTCACACAAATTCTTCCATGTAGCTAATAGTAGTAGTAGTTGGCTAACAAGATAATTCAAAACGCTAGTAGAACAACTTCTGCACACTATGACAAGGATACTCTATCAATAAAGTTGAGTCATATTGTGGTGAATTGTCTTTGAGTAATAGAACCCTTACTTTAGTTAAATATTTGATTAACGAGCCAATTCTGCTGACACAGGTATTTTTGGTGCACTATTTCAGCACAATGTGTGAGTACTCAGCTGTACAGGATATTTTCTACTGTTCAGTAGAATTTTCCAGGTTTACTCGTTTGAAACGATTTTCCTGACCTGTTTATGCGTTTGGAACGAGCTGTTGCTTGGCTCTATTTCCTTCCGCGGAGGCTGCGGGGGGGGGGGGGGGGGGGGGGGGGGCGTGCAGTCCCGCGGAAGAACATGGCATCCCAACATCTGTGTGGCTCTACTTTTTCAGCGGCATCATTTGCGAGGAAGAAAGGAGACAGCAACGATTTTTTGGGAGTCTTTTGCTGAAATTTACATTTTTAACACTTCTTCATGACACATTTCTGTCTCTTTAGGGCCGTAGCCGACAAGTGAAGGGAGACATTTTTTCGACCACCTGACGAGCTTTTCTGAAACGGACAAGTGCACCCACTCAAACCGAACCTCCGAGGAGAGCCAAAATGGGGGTAAGACTTTTTTTTTTTTTTTAAACAACAACAATAACAACACCATCATCAAGATACATGTCGTCTATTTCTGTGTCTGGGGTGCTTGGGCGACGACTCGCTCTTTGCGTCACATTTGTGAGTCAATCGACAGCATCAAGTTGCGGAGTACTGGAGTAACGCGTTACTTTAAGGGCACGTATTAATCACGTTTCATGCCCATAAATACAAAGGCGCATTTGCTGTGTCTGTGGACTGGGTTATTAATACGTTTAAAGGCCCCCCTGTCGAGATTATAAGCAACAAAACAATGAAACATGTCTGAAAAGCCAACCGCCATTAAACAAGGGGGGGGGGGACGCCATTTAGTCTAAGTGTGTGAAGACAGATTGGATCCTTGCGGCAATGTGTGTCTGTCCCCCCCCCCCATTGACAGCATTTTTCTTTAAATGATACACATGTTTATTTTGGTGAGGGTTTTGACTCCCATGAAAATAAAATGGGTGCCCTAAAAGTTACATTTACGATGTCATTTCCAATTCATTAGGGTGGACATCAAATCACAAAAGATAAATGAACGAAAGTAAATCCATAAGGCATATCAAAAACGGTCCTTGATTTCTTGCCATGTTCTCTGTAGCCGCCATCACTGTCGGCGATGGCATCACTGCTGCTTCAGATCGTTGACTTTGTTCCGATACCTTTCACATAACCCCACCAGCGATCTAGAATGTGGTTGTGAAGAAGACAAATGAATACATATTTTGAAAGCCACTAAGAACGAATCTAATAATTGAACTTTATTTGTTTTAATTGTAAAGAGATGGTACATGAACATGTTTCACCCATGTGCAAGTTATTTGAGTTTTTGTTGTTCAGTCTTTTATTCTCATCTGACTTTTTACCAGACCCACACCGTGCCCCTGTCCGACAGGATCACCGTTTGGGTGTTGCTTCCATCCTCGGCCCCCTCCACCTTCCTTTTGTTTTCTTTCATAAAAAAAAAAAAAAAAAAAATCAGGACGGCATCTGGTTTGATTCGTCATGTACAGTCATAATAGACTCCAGCGCTGTTCGCCCCACACTAGCACACAGTGTAGTGAGCGTCCTTTGCAATCCAGTCCTTCTAATGAAGTGTGTTTTGCAGGGGCCTTTCCTTCCATGCTGAATTCGAGTGGGTGGGAGGAGGCAAGATGGAATCGTGGAATGAGAGAGCATTCAGGCTAGAATGGAGAAGTTGTGCCACTCTGTCACGCTTTGTCCGAGAGCTCGACCGAGAGTTTGCCCGAGGCTAACTTAAAAGAGCAGTGTATTCACTCTGGAGGAGGAGGCGCGGGTGGAGGGGCGTACAAAACGGGAGGCGGGGCGGATTGACGAGGCATCTGAGGTCAATCAATCGGGAATTCACTGATGGTGAGGCCCGGCGAAAGTCAAATTGAGATTGGCATTCCCGGTTGGAAGATAGAGGACGGCGAATGACTGCCATGTCACTTTAAGGAGGGTTGTGGGAAAACGTGGGAGGATGCCTCAAGTAATGCAGATGAGCTATTGGGAATCATCCCGAACGATTGTGAAAAACAATCAAATTGTGATTTTTTTTTTCTTCAATATTGCGATTGCTGTTTAGAACGCAAATATTTTTTTCGCGCTCCTCTTGCCGTATATTTTTGTAACAAACAAAATCATCATATCATCTGGATTATAATTAATAATATCAGACTTTTTTATACTTAAATGTTTTGCTCAGCGGCACGGTGGGGGAATGGTTAGCACATTGGCCTCACAGTGCAGAGGCGCGGGGGTTCGATTCCAGCAACGGCCTTTCTGTATGGAGTTAGCATGTTCTCCCCGTGCCTGCGTGGGTTTTCTATGGGTTCTCCAGTTTCCTCCCACATTCCAAAAAACATGCCTGTTCATCCATGTGTACCCTGCGATTGGCTGGCAACCCAGTTCAGGGTGTACCCCGCCAAACAGCCCAAAGACAGCTGGGATAGGCTCCAAAACGCGGTGATTTAGAAAATGGATGGACGGCTTATGGAAAAATAAAGGCAAATGAGCCATAAATTAACATGATGGACAGTTTTTATCTACATCAGATAGAGTGGTTAACTTTTACTAAACACTTTCACTTGCCAAAGCAATATCTTGAGTTTGCCATTTTGCAGTACTGCTGGAAGTAGTGAGTAAACATACGGTTTCCAATGTATCCCACAATGCATCTTGTTAAAGTAAAGCCAAGAGTCGCTAGAGAAGCAACATATCCCATGATGCAGTGTGCCAAAACAAAAACATCAAAGAAAAGAAAATGGCTGCTGGAGACAGACAAGGGGTGCCGTCAAATACTTCGAGGCATGAAAGTATCTTCAATGTCAGTTAAGCAGCACTTCACAACACGGATGGACAGCAAGTGTAACTCACTCAGTTCGTAAAAAAAACAAAAAACAAAAAAAAAAACTAATAATAATAACTTTGATATCTGCTAATAAATTAAGAGCTAAGTGGATATTTAAAATGTGTCAACCGTCATTGCGTAAGCAAGGTTTAAAAGCTTTAAACCTTGGATCCATATTTGATCCAGATTCTGCAGTTGCTACGATCATTCATTGGTATCTTTTAAGCCCTGCCGGAGGTCTGCGCTTGCACTCATTTGGAGACCTGAATTAGCTTTTCGGAGCAATTTTTAGCATCAATGCAAACCCACTCATAATCATAACGTTAGCCTAAATTAATAAGAGTAATAATAATAATTTCCTAAATCATTTTCTGAAATCATTTTGATATCAACATAAAAGGCAGCTTTTATCAGTCTAATGATAAGCTTCTAAATTTAGGGACTTAAATTCTCTTGTGCTATGAGACCTCGAGTGTCCAGAAGATGCTTTTTATTCTTTTTTTTTTTTTTTTTGGCAGTGTGGATGTTGCGTAATTTGTCAATATTTCATCTATATCTAGTTTCCATCTGAGTACGAGTGTGTGAGTTTTTAATCGATGAAAACGCTGCACTGTGAGCTCAGTCACACCACCAGTGTGCCGTGACGTCAGGCCGTAGCGGTGTTTCCATAGATTTGTGTTACATAATACACTTGCACAAGGTACATCATTAAAAAAAAAAAAAAAAATCCAGGACCACCTGTCCTCCTCTTCGTCATCCTCCTCAAACTATTTAAAATTCCCCCGTGGTTGGGATGTTGCTAGGAAACCTCACACCCGCTGTTAGCTGTCAATCACCAGCAACTGCCATTTTCTGGCGACGCGCATGGCCACTGATCATCGCAGAGTTTCATCTGCGGCTGTGAGTCGGGATGTTGGGGGTGGGTGAAATAATGGAAAAAAAAAATCCCACCACACTTGCTCTGTGTCATACAGTAAACTAAGAAGTAGAAATTCAAAACAATTGTGACAAGGCAACCACTGGAAAGATATTTCATTGAGTGCCTCATAAATAAGTTAATGAATAGCATGGATATCGTGAGTGGAATGTGTCAGTGCAGAAAATCCCACATGAAAATATACAGGATGTTGGAAATGAAGCTATTTGGTAGTTTTGAAGGCAATTACGTCTGCCCCGCCCGAGACCATCTCCCCCTCCCACATGCGCAAGTATTTGAGTCGGCGTATTTGTCTCCTACTCACGTGGCTGTCATCGAGGTTTTTTTTTTCCAATCTCATGCTGTGTCCCCCTCCCTTAGAGGAGCAAAATTTGGGACTTGTTTTTTGTTTTTTTTTACCCCAACTCCCCCTTCCTGATGTTTTTCTTTTTCATCTAAGAAAATCTGAGCGCCGTTTGACGTCCCATTCAGGCTTCTCTGTTCTGTCTCTCTCTGTTGGTTATTGTTCTTTAAATCTCTTGGATGAGTTGGAACTGTGAAGTGAAGTTCACTGCTCTGCACTCGTTCCCGCGCACTGACAGTAAATTGGATTTCATTGCATTCATTCCTACATTTGTGAGCCTGTTACCACATATTATCCAAAGCATGCATCGGTAGAGCGGGAGAGGTCGATGGAGACATCAAGTTGGAGAGGTCACCAAGACGGCTGGTTGAAGGGTTAACATGTCGGGGCGCCCGCTCGGAATATGCACGCTCCGCAGTTCATCACGGTATCGACTGCTCCTGCCTGTCAGGATGCAAAACGCTTCACTGGGCATTTGAATGTCAAAGAAAGAAATGAGGTACCGTAAAGTATGATGATGATGTATATTCAGCGGTGAGTTTGGCCATTAAATTGGGTACACTTGCTGTATCGACTTTCCAATATTAAATTCCAAAGTTTAGTTGCTGCCACCATTCAGCTAACTATTTCCACACGGTAGAAGTGGCTCATCGGATAACCGCTCGAGTCACTTGTGCGTTTGCATAAAACATGACGCGGGCCAATGTAAGCGAACCGAATTTCACAACAACAACAAACCCCACCCCACCCCCTCACACTTCCGTCCGTCATATCCCCTTACATGTGCCGTGCATGACACAACATCACTTATTGAAGGGGGGGGGGGGGGGGGGGGGGGGCGGGTATGAAGACATGGATTATGTAGGACCCCCCCCCCAGCCCCCCCTCCCTCATACAGAGAGCAGTTTCTAGGTCGACTGCTCCACTGAGCTGTGTGTAATCCGTGATTTGTCTGTGTGTGTGTGTGGGGGGGGGGGAGACAGGGACATGGACAATCCTCCAATCAGAACCAAGCACCCACTGCTCGGCAATCTCCACTGGATGATTTCGTCAGATATTGACATGTCTGAATTGTATATGATGAACGTCATTGTCTTGTATGACCGACTGTTACTCACAGATCACATCGTTTTCCGTCACGTGATCGGCTGTTGCTCGTCCAAAGATCAGGAGGCTAAGCTAGTCTTGAAACTTAAAGACCGGCGGACCAAATTATGTTTGTTTAGTCTGTAATATGGATCGGTATCGGGCCTTATACGGGTCTTTTTTTTAAGGTATCGAGTCGTCATTGAGGCTGCATATACCAGCCTCCGATACTTAAGGAAAAAAGGTCTGACATTGAGTAAATCTTCCTCAGTGATAGTTGGCTCAATACTGCGGCGGTTTGACACATTGGCAAATCAAGGGAGATCTTTGTTCTTAAGTATTTAGGTCCTCATACTAAATGACATTTTATGAATATCAAACCTACTAGTAGAGGTATCGGTACTCTGTGTGGGTGAGTACCCAAAGAATGGTATCGGTCTGAAAAAAGTACTACGTTGCATGAAAACATCACTGATGGCTTTTACAGTATTAGATTTATGCAAATGATTTATTGCATCTGCACTATTGATGAGTCTGGTTTCCACTAAATTGTCACTGTCACAGATAAAAGCTCGAAACGTGTTCTCTTGGCTCCTTTGCTTGGCCTAAAAGATCTTATTACGCTCATTTGTGATTAATTAGTCCGGACTCATGTGATAGAAATTTCTGATTAAAATGCAAATTGATTCACAGTCGTGCTCGACTACAACCCTTCTGTGCATTATCATGGCTCGGCAGGAACAGTGAAGAACGGACACTGGGAATAAAATGAATGGGAGCACTTGGACTGACTTGGATTATTGTTGTTCACTGGGTTAATCTGACCAGTGTAGTAAACAGCTGTAATCTGTTGCACGACAGATGGCACCCACAAACAATTCCAGACTCTTAATTGAAGGTTCCATTTGGTAGCCATCTTAAAAAGTTGCCATATAAACAATGTTTTGAACCCTATAATGAACAAGACAGACCTGTGTTGAATAAACGAAAAATAACCATCCCATAATGACAACGTGAAACAACATGAAAAAGTGACCAAAGGACTGTAATTGCCACCAAAGTATTAAGTAAAGGTTCCAAATGCATGAGTACATGTGATTTTGTTTTTTTTATTATTTTTAATAGGACCTGACAAATAGGCATTTTTTCGGCAGAATAAAATTTGGATAACCAGTTAATTGGCCCATTAATTTTTTTTTAAATGATGTAATGATTAAAATAATTTTTGTGGTCTCTTAACGTATACAACAATGCATGTGTAGAATATTGAGGTTGGTGTGACGGCTTGTCTTTTTGAATTAGGCTGAGATTGTGTTATCTTTCTGTTATAATTCTTTTTTTCTGCTGTCTTTAATGAAGCTTTTCTTGGTCTGCTTGACAGTATGGAAGGTCAGACAGCTACCGCGTGGCCACCACGCAGGACAAGGATGAGAAGGAGTCGCCCAAGAAGAAAGGAGGCAAGGGAATGGATGACCTTAAGAAGGAAGTCCCAATTGTAAGTCTTGCGTCAGTATCTCTAGAATGTGAGCATTCTGGCGAAGTGAATCTCCTAACGTTCACTAATACACAAGAGATCCTCATCGTAGTACACAAAAACAATTGTACTTTCTGCCATTTAGTGGAAGAGCTTTTAACTCATTCAGTACCAGCCAATTCTGGACCAAGTCTGAAAAGACGTTTTTAAACGTCTTTGGGAGTGAATGAGTTTTTAATTGTTCTGCCTGTCAGTATGCGTCACGGTCATAGATAGATGAACAAAGATATGATCCTTCATGGTCTAGGATAACGTGGGTAAAGCTGACCGATCCTTTCCGCTTCAACTTTGTAGACGGAGCACAAAATGTCCGTGGAGGAAGTTTGCAGAAAATACACCACTGACATCGTTCAGGTAAGTCAGCATCACGATACATCAAACCAGGGGTGCCAAACTCATTTTTGTCGCAGGCCACATTGTTGTTACGGTTTCCCTTGGTGGGCCGTTATGACAGTGAATTTTGTGAAACCATATAAATGTTTAATCACCTCCATATATTACGTAAGCAGTGCACAACAAATTGATGGATAACTGGTTTGAAAATCAGAAGTCAAGAATAATGACTTGTTTCAACATTGTTGACATTAATGTAATAGGGGGTTTGGTAATGAGAAAATGCTTGCAATATCATATGTAATTATGGATTACATATGACAATTTGAAATTTTGGTTCACACTTGAGCAAGCATCATGGAAGTTGACATGCTTGATTTTCTTTCGCGGACCACATAAAATGATGTGGCGGGCCAGATCCGGCCCCCAGGCCTTGCCTTTGACACCTAGATTTAACTCTTTTATTCCTCAAGATCTATAAATACGTCTAGGAAGGCCACCATGTTTCCTTTATTTTTAAAAATTTTTTTTAGTTTTTATTTATTTTTTTTGCAGAAGGGTCTGATGCAGCCTCTGACTAAGGATCATGCTTGTCTGCACTGTAAATCCTTTAAAATCTGTCCAGAAGGTGGCAGCGAATGTAAGGGATCAGCCAAGATCATGCTGCAGAACAAGTAGAAGTAGATCAAAATCAAAACAATTAGGATTGCTTTGGGGGAAGAAAATCTTCCACGATGACGAGGTAGATGGAGTTGAACTTAAACAAAATGGACCTCTGATAAAAATGTAGCAATTTTCTAATGCTGATTGCTAAAAAAACAGAAAAAGATAGAAACAACCTTTTTTTTTTGAATCAGCTGAGCGTCTCATTTTGCTCAGCTTCAAAATCCAGTAAAACGGTTGGGATTGAGGGGTTTTCTCCAGAAAAAATTTGCATGCCCTAATGTTCAACATTGTTATTTTTGGTGCCCGGTCCAGGGTCTGACCAACGCAAGGGCTGCTGAGTACTTGGCCAGAGACGGCCTCAATGCCCTGACCCCGCCACCCACTACCCCGGAGTGGGTCAAGTTCTGTCGTCAGCTGTTTGGCGGCTTCTCCGTCCTGTTGTGGATCGGCGCCATCCTCTGCTTCCTGGCCTACGCCATCCAGGCCGCCACGGAGGACGAGCCTGCCGGGGATAATGTGAGTGCCGGATATTCAAACCACAAAATAATGTGGCTTGGTAATGTGCGGCAGTTGCTCCCCATGAGGAAGATCATGTCAGAAGCAGCGCTTTGTTTACAAAATGGCACCGGCCGGGTTCATGCACTGCCACGGGGGGAGTGTTTTACCCCTGCTATTTGTCACGGCCTTCTTAGCAGGGAGAGTTCAAAGGTCATCCTGGATGGACTCAGGCTGAACTACGATGACACATGCTGAGAAGCAGTGGAATCAACATTAGGGCGCAAATAGATCATGGCTTATATTGTGTCCAGGGTACGACCCAAAATTTGGGCCAGACCGATTAGTCAGACGGCCGATTTAACAGGTCGATATTCGTGATTTTAAAATGATCACTAATTTGGCAAAAAAAAAAAAAAATCTGCTGATTGTTTTTTAAACATTAACTCATTGCAAAGTAAGACAAAGATGACATTCAAAAAATTTCCCCCCAAAATAATTGCCAAAAATGTTTCTCGCTGTCAAGTAAAACAACTACAAGTAGTCCAAAACATATCGGTCAGGCCTTCCCTAAAATACCAATTTCCTTCTGATCCCAAGTAGCCAAAGAGGTTAACTTGATCTTTAACCAAGAGATTTGTACCTCTGTTTAACCGAGGCCCTCCTTCCGTGTTCCAGTTGTACCTCGGTATCGTGTTGTCAGCTGTGGTCATTATCACTGGCTGCTTCTCCTACTTTCAAGAAGCCAAGAGCTCCAAGATCATGGAGTCCTTCAAGAACATGGTCCCCCAGGTACGACATGACTCGGCGCATGTCAGCGGGTGGCTTGAAAAGGTGGAGAAAGTAATTGTCCCGCTCGCCTGTGTGTTCCCAGCAAGCCCTGGTGATCCGCGAAGGGGAAAAGATGCAGATCAATGCCGAGCAGGTGGTGGCCGGAGACCTGGTGGAGGTGAAGGGGGGAGACCGGATCCCCGCCGACCTCCGCATCATCTCATCGCACGGCTGCAAGGTGCGCTGTCGAACAGCGGACCGCCCCATTCGTGGCTTCAAGCTAAATACTCACCTTGGCCTTTCGTTTGCGGCAGGTGGACAACTCCTCCCTGACCGGCGAGTCGGAACCTCAGACCAGGTCGCCAGACTGCACTCATGAAAATCCTCTGGAGACCCGGAACATCGCCTTCTTCTCCACAAACTGTGTGGAGGGTAAGACCACCAGATTTTAGATTGTAATTTATAGCTCTGAGGTTTCAGAAAGAAAATGCCCTTAATTCATAAATATTACTAAATATATGACTATATTCCATATTCTTTTTATTAGTATGAAAAGCTGATGTGAAAAAAAATAAGGACATGTTCAGAATCAGCACCAAAAATCTGTCAAAGTTTATTTGCATATTTGATTTTAAAAATTACATAAACTTTGATTTGCCAGTGCAATTCGTGAATTTATTATGAACAATGAAATGTTTTTTAAGATAAAATAAATTCATTAAATGCTTTATTAAATATTTGGTAAATTATAATGAAAATGAAAAAAGTAAAATAACTGAGAACATATGATTTTGTTATAATGATAAAGTATTAACATTTTTTACGTACAGCCTTTTTTTTTTAACCTCATCTACAAATCACTTGGCCCAAAAATGGCGACCATGAGCACAAACATTTGCCCACCCTGTTTTATGACATAATAGGGCAGTGACTCTCTAAGTATGGCACACTAGCTCTCTCTCGGTACAAAAAAGAATGGGTGAAATAATCCGCTGTAAAAGGTTCTAAATTAAGATTAGTCTTTGGCGTCCTCATGTGGTAGCATCTTTGCATTACAATTCCTGAAAAACTATCCTCTCCTTCCATCCTTTGTCCAGGCACAGCTCGCGGTATCGTGGTGTGCACGGGCGATCGCACCGTGATGGGCCGCATTGCCACCCTCACCTCGGGCCTGGAAACCGGCAAGGTGAGCGAGTCACTACGCTCACACCGTGTCATGATAGCATGATCTCATCTTCCTCGTCTGAAATCCATTCCACAGACGCCCATCGCCAAGGAGATCGAGCACTTCATCCACATCATCACTGGCGTGGCCGTCTTTCTCGGCGTGACTTTCTTCATCCTGTCGCTGGTGCTGGGGTACTCCTGGCTGGAGGCCGTCATCTTCCTCATCGGCATCATCGTAGCCAACGTGCCCGAAGGCCTGCTGGCCACCGTCACTGTGAGTGCCATACCACTGATACAGCAAGCGTAGAAAGTTTTTTATTTTTTTTTCACTTCGCCTCTATAAAATGCAAATGGGAATGACATAATTCAAAACAAGTTTTGCTTTTCCCCGTTCTGGCATTGGCTTTATTACTTATTTTATTCACTTTGAAACGACTTCTTTTACATAAATACCAGAATTAACTTGCATTCATAGAAATAATAGAATTCAAATATTTTTTTTCCCGTAGTTACTGTGCATCAACAGAAATAATAGAAATTTAAAAAAAAATTCTCAACAGCGAATGTGAAAATATGTGCTTCCTATTTCGTTCAATATGTACTTATATAACCATGATCCTGAATAAATTAATGTGAAATTTATATCAACTCCAATTCTGCATTTTTAGAAACAACCAAAACTGAAAATAAAACATGACACAATCAAAAACAGAAGTAAAAGTTAAAAAAACAATAGAAAGAAACGAAACACTTTCAACACTCATCTTGTCTGTTTCTTAGCAAGCAGTGCACAACACCAAAGATGCACTTTGAACTATGGAAGCCATTTCAAAAAAATGCATTTTTAAAAGAAATCACTGTGACAAATCAACCCCAACTTATGGAAAACCCTAAATGGATATTGTAATCGCCCCGTATGTTTGGATTCGCTTTGTGTGTCTGCTTCCCTTCTCTCTGTGCTTTGATGTTTCAGTGCTGTGTGTTTTTGATTTGTCTGTTGTGCTTTGTATATATTAGTGTCGCTGTATACCTTTGTGTGTCTCTTTTTCAGGACAGTCACGTCCGCTGTCTGTCTGCAGTGACACCATCTCAGTTCATGTAATTTGGCTCACAACTGTTCATTCATTAGTTGTGTTTGACCCCTGCGACCCGCCGTAGTTGTGCATCGTGATAACTTAACTCTGCTCTGTTTGACCGCTTTACTCACTGCCTGGCTTGTGAAGGATGCTTTGGCTTAAGTGCCTTTTGCTTTGGGGTGGGCGTACAATGGACATTTCTAGTTTTATTGGGTGACCTTTGGGAACGGGGTCTTTCGTGTTCTGGTATAGTATGGTTCCAAGGTTGCTAAGCTTGGTTTCCCAGCTGCCTGGAGGTGTGTCATCTGTTCACTAATAGTTTCCCAAAGAGGCCAACATTGATTTTGTGCTGTCGGCCCGGTAGGTGTGTCTCACTCTAACCGCAAAGCGAATGGCCCGCAAAAACTGCCTGGTGAAGAACCTGGAGGCGGTGGAAACGCTGGGTTCCACCTCCACGATCTGCTCGGACAAGACGGGCACCCTTACCCAGAACAGGATGACCGTGGCCCACATGTGGTTTGACAATCAGATCCATGAGGCCGACACTACCGAGGACCAGTCAGGTAAAGGAAATAGACTCAGAATCAGAATAGCTTTTATTGTCATTGTACCGTGTGCAACGAGTTTGCCGGGTCGCGTTTTTATAGTCGTTTACAGGGGGGGGGGGGGACCCCCACCCCCGAACCCCATCAACCTCAGACTGAGTTCCTGTAAAAATCAATTTGGAAAAAAAAAACCTTACCAAACAAGCATACAACACAAAGACGAGCTCATGTGGAGTGGAAATGGGAATGTTGGGTTAAACTTTACAATCCGCCTGCAGAGGGCGGGCTTCGCAGGCAACATGGTCCCACCACATCTCAATCTACAGGTGCACCATAATAAAGAAAGGAAAGGGGGCTGTGGAAGAGCCACAAAGCGATGCATGGATAGGTAGATAGATAGATAGGTAGATAGATAGAAACTTCTCTTCTGCCTGCTGCTGAGTAAATGCTGTGGATTGTCCATGACTGCTTGAAATCTGCCGAATGTCTTTTTACAAACAACAAAACACGTGAGTCACGTTCTCATCCGTCTCCTCAGGCTCCTCCTTCGACAAGAGCTCCACGACTTGGGTGTCCCTGGCCCGCATCGCCGCGCTGTGCAACCGCGCCGTGTTCAAGGCCGGCCAGGAGTCGTTGCCCATCCTCAAGCGCGAAGTGGCCGGCGACGCCTCCGAGTCGGCGTTGCTCAAGTGCATCGAGCTGTCTTGCGGCACTGTCAAAACCATGAGGGACAAGAACAAGAAAGTTGCTGAGATACCCTTTAATTCCACCAACAAATATCAGGTTTGTGCAACCCGTTAGGACCCATATTGGCCACAGTGTTAGGTGCACATTCTGATGGTACTTTGTACTTTCTTCGTTGCCAGCTTTCCATTCATGAGAGCGATGACGAGTCGGACAAACGCTACCTTCTAGTGATGAAGGGAGCCCCAGAGAGGATCCTCGACCGCTGCTCCACCATCATGTTGCAGGGCCGCGAGCAGCCGATGGACGATGAGATGAAGGAGGCCTTCCAGAACGCTTACTTGGAACTGGGAGGCCTGGGGGAGAGAGTGCTGGGTAAAGATTGGCGTGGTAGATGCTAGCACCATAAAATTGTCACAGTGAGCTGAAATGCCCGGACGCATAGAAATGCATAATTGAAAGGAATTAGGTTGATACATGGCATGATTCCTTCTTGTGACTCCCCTCAAATATGTCAGGCCCACAACATCTCAAGTCATCTTCTTTGATCCTGCCAGGCTTCTGCCACCTCTTCCTCCCAGAGGAGTCCTACCCAAAAGGTTTTGCCTTTGACACGGACGATGTCAACTTCCAGACGGACAACCTTTGCTTCGTGGGCCTCATGTCTATGATTGACCCACCCCGCGCCGCCGTCCCAGATGCTGTGGGCAAGTGTCGCTCCGCTGGCATTAAGGTGGGGCACCGTGTTCGTCTTTGCTCTTGCACCTCCTCAGTTTGCGTCAATAGTTTGTTCTCCTTCAGGTCATCATGGTGACAGGTGATCATCCAATCACAGCCAAGGCCATCGCCAAGGGCGTGGGCATCATCTCCGAGGGCAACGAGACGGTAGAAGACATCGCTGCACGACTCAACATCCCCGTGAGTCAGGTGAACCCCAGGTGAGAGAGCCACCCTCCATGTATGGCCCCATGCGCTCGCACCGTTACGTTTAATATTCCTGATGTGCCGCTGTAGGGACGCAAAAGCCTGCGTGATCCACGGAACAGACCTGAAGGACCTCGACCAAGACCAAATGGATGACATTTTAAGGAACCACACAGAGATCGTCTTTGCTCGAACCTCACCTCAGCAGAAACTCATCATCGTAGAGGGCTGCCAGAGACAGGTACGCTGTGCATTGTGTAATTTTCTTGATTTTATTACTTAGAATAGCTGAATGAACCATTATGTTACATATAATTTAGTTAGATAAATGATGAATGAAAAAAACAATTAGGGCAAAAATGGCTAAATGAATGCAAAAAATGTCACAGGACTCTTACGACAATATTTCCCCACTGCCAGGGTGCCATCGTGGCCGTGACGGGTGATGGCGTCAACGACTCTCCCGCCCTCAAGAAGGCCGACATCGGCGTCGCCATGGGAATCTCTGGCTCGGACGTATCCAAACAAGCTGCCGACATGATCCTGCTGGATGATAACTTTGCGTCCATCGTCACGGGCGTGGAGGAAGGTTAGCGGAATGTGGCAAAGGAGGCGAGACGGGATGTGACCTGACTTGAACGTTTTGTCCTCGCAAGGCCGCCTGATCTTTGACAACCTGAAAAAGTCCATCGCCTACACGCTCACGAGCAACATCCCTGAGATCACCCCCTTCCTCTTCTTCATCCTGGTCAACATCCCGCTTCCTCTGGGTACCATCACCATCCTCTGCATCGACCTGGGCACGGACATGGTGAGACACTTGCCACTAAATTTGTGTTTCAGAGACATAGGGTGTGGCTTATGAGGCATCACTCATTTTTTTGCACCTTTCCGTACTCAGGTGCCAGCCATCTCCCTGGCGTATGAGGCAGCGGAAAGCGACATCATGAAGCGCCAGCCCAGGAACCCGATGAGGGACAAACTGGTCAACGAGAGGCTCATCAGCATCGCCTACGGACAGATCGGTAGGGGGAGCTGGTTTTAATAACTGGCGCCTGGAGTTTGGTCACCGCGCCACTTGATTTGCCGGCTTGTCTTCAGGTATGATCCAAGCTCTCGGCGGCTTCTTCGCCTACTTCGTCATCATGGCAGAAAACGGCTTCCGGCCCTCTGTGCTGATGGGAATTCGCCTCAACTGGGACGACCGCTCCAACAACGACCTGGAGGACAGCTACGGCCAACAATGGGTACAAGCCACTGAAGATCGGAATATTATTATCGTGTGAAAGCTGACATCCTCCTTCCACATTTTTCAACTATCCAGCTCATTCATGGGATCTTCGGAAGTCTTTTTCACATTTGCAACATTTCTATTTTTTTCATTATTCCGTGTCTCCCCTGAAATGTTCCTAAATCAATGTAGACAATTTACCTAGTCACATCCTCCTTCCACGTTTCTCAATCAATTCAAGCCATTCCAAGTTCAAACCATTCAACTCATTCAGAACTTTTACAGAGCCATTTTTCACATTCTCCAAATTCCAACATTTTTCAAAATTCCACATCTCCTAGACAAAATTCCCAGCTGATTCGACCCTCCACATTAAAAAAAAAAAAATCTCCCCACACTGCCATTCTGTATTTTGACATTTTCGATATATTCTTACAGCGTTTTCTCAGTGCAGCTTCGGCTTTACAAATATTGCGATATTTGAAATTTCACAGACATACGAGCAGCGCAAGATCGTGGAGTTCACGTGCCACACGGCCTTCTTCGTCAGCATCGTGGTGGTGCAGTGGGCCGACGTCATCATCTGCAAGACCAGACGCAACTCTGTCTTCCAGCAGGGCATGAGGTCCGTCCGTTTCCATGACCATTAGTCACATATGCAGTCAGCATTCAGGACAGCTTTAATGGAATCAACTCAGTTGTCCCCCATGTTTCTTCCAGTTGTAGTTTCCATTAACAGCCGCTAGGTGGAAGCAAAGCGCTTACTTTCATACACAGGCCATTTGATTAGGTACGCCTGCTCAAGCTGAAGCCACTTAACAGAACCAAAATTTGACAATATCATACTCGGATTGTCAGAGAGAGAAGGGTTGATTCTTTAATAAAAAAAAAAAATCATAATAATAATAATAATCGTTTCTTATCGTGCTTTAAAAAAAAAAAAAAAAATAATAATAATAATCGTTTCTTATCGTGCTTGTAGTTTAGAGTGACTGTCATTTAGCCAACATCTAGCTCTGTCCCACTTCTTCTGTCAAGAGACTGATCACCTCCTGTTTTTGTGCGCTGATGGTTTTACTTTTCCCACAGGAACAAGATTTTGATTTTCGGCCTGTTTGAAGAAACAGCCCTCGCCGCGTTCCTGTCCTACTGCCCCGGCATGGACGTGGCGCTACGGATGTACCCGCTTAAGTAAGAGAAGCATCCAGCTTTCTGGAATCAACTCTTTGATTTACGTAGGCTTTACGCTAAACAGTCGAGATGGGAGGTTTGTACTCCTTGTTCTAAATCACCACTGGCTAATTTGAAATTACCCCCCATTGCTACTTACTATCTATTATCCTGCCCTCTGGTGGCCAATGCAATGCGGGTTAAAGCATGAAACTGTGACGAACAAAAACTATGAACTTTTTAGGGCCAGCTGGTGGTTCTGCGCCTTCCCGTACAGTTTCCTCATCTTTGTTTACGATGAGATCCGAAAGCTCATCCTGCGTCGAAACCCTGGAGGTAAGCACACGCCCACCCACACACTCGTCGGGTTTGGCGATGAATAGATTTAATCAAATAATTTGCCCGACGTTAATCTACTGATCCTAAAATGCGCTGACACTCTGCTCTTTTCTTTTTTTTTTCCTTCTTATGGTGTGTTCAGGTTGGGTGGAAAAGGAGACATACTATTAAATTATCAAAACATCACAAATGTCTCATCCGTCCGCCCCACCCTTTCACCCTCCCTCCCCTTGTGTCTCACCTTCCTTCTTCTCCCCTCCCGTTATCAAATCCCAACCCTCTTCCCCCGCCACCTCCTTCCACACTGTCACCTGATTGGCTCGCACATCACAAATGCACGTTAGACCGCAATGTGTGTATCCATTGTTGTTTACATTTAGACAAGTGCATCTTGCCACGGTGACGAGCTGACCATGTTTACTCTTCTGCCATCTTCTTTAACTAAAAACACACACACACACACACACACACACACCAAGATGGCGCCGGGACCAACGACAGAGAGGGAGAGGATGTTGCCGCGGGGGCAAACACACACGCATTCTCTCCCATCGCTTTTTTTTTTTTCCAACACTCAGCTCGAAACTGCCAACTGCCGCCATTGTGCCGTTGCGTGTTGCCATGGCGCCCGAAGTCGCCGTCATTGCCGCTTTCCCTACTCCACTGTTCCACCGCGCCATTTGTCAGAGAATCCGGAGCGAGTATTGGGTACCGGTACCTTTAATTTTTTTCTGTTTATTTCTAGCTTGGGCAGCATAGTAGTAGAGTGGTTATCACATTACCCCCCCGACCTTATCGATCACCTCCTCCTCTGCCCCCCTTCCACAGTGTTCGATCTGCTTGTTTTTTTTAACAGGCGGCTAACTGGCTGTTGCTGTTTTTTTCAACATTTTGATTTGTGAGTGAGTATAAAAGATGCTTGTTTTCATTGACACCTGACGAAGCAACCGTCTCTCCGTCCTCTTCCTCCTCAGCTCTCGAACTTCGCCCCACGCGCCCCTACCCGTCTTATGTCTTGATGCTTGTCTTGTTTGTGAACGCCGTGCGACGCGTCCTTGTGAAACAAACCACCAGGGGGTGGGCAAACGTTGGCGCTCAAGGGAGATATTTGATTTCTGAAACAGGACAACTGGGCCGTAAAATTTGTCATTTTCTCTGATATTTACAATCAATTAACCAGTTATATAACCAGAAAAGTGAATGAAGAAGAAGAATTAAATTTTAATATTTAAAAAAAAGGTTAAATGAATGCAATCCAAATGAAAATGTTAATATTTTTACTGGATTTATAGCGTTGTTTTATTCTTAAAAAATGAGCCCTTCGACATCAAATGACATCAAATTAAAAAAAAAAATACTTGTTTCTTCACTTGTATTTTATTTCCATTAAATTAACCTGAAAATAAAAAGCACAAAGGTTTGGTGAATGCAGTTGTGCGCACAAGTTAACATACACTGCCATTTTTCTAAAACTTTCTCTCTGGAAAGAAGATGAGTGATCAGACATTTATTTGATTTTATTTATTTATTTTAATGCGATTCTGTGAAGCATTTTTGAATAGCACAATCATAAAACAAAACGTAGCAATTTAAAAAAGAAGAGTAATGACAAGCTGGTGTTTTTCCTCAAATTGCCATTATTTCAAAAATTCTGCCAGGGTGAGTAAACTCGAGAGCGCAACAACTGTCCGGCTAAATGAATGGAGCAAATATTACAGACGAGCCACACTTTGCCCACCCCTGCCGCAAAACCTCTTTCCCTCCTCCCGCTGTTATGATTTAAAAAAAATAAAAAATCCTTGTGAGAAAAAGAGATTTCTCTCACGATTTCATGATTTTAATCAGTGAAGCAAGACAATGACTTCACCTGTGGAAACAGCAACAAAAAACAAACAAAAAAAAAAACTATGTACAAAAAAAAGAAAATAGACTATCTCTTTTTTTTTTTCACTTTGCTCTCCATTTTGTTCTTGTGTCATGAACATTGAAAATAAACGCTGTGAACAGTTGTGACTGACGTCTACGGTGTCCTGGCGTCGATTTTTACAAACATTCGCCAATACACATGAATGCCTTTGACCTCTCACAAGACTTCACGCAAGGACAGTGGAACCTTTCGACAGATCAAACAACTGAATGTTTTGTCTTGATGCGAAGAGACTGGCTTTCTCGGACTTTCACTTGTAAGGTGAGTACACGACTCAACATTAAATTACTGAACAAAGTGATTCCAAGCATGAAATCATGATGGAGAAACTTGAATTCTCTGTTTACAGTAAACAAGTCAAACTAACGAACATCATCTCACAATATTCATCAATAATCATGCTCAAAGATGTACATTAAAAAATTAATTTAGAGGAATTGGCATAAAAAACAGGATTTCCGAGGAGGACGTTTAATTTCAACTAGGCTGTGCTGAACTACTTTTTTTTCATTCTTTCAAATTCCACTTAAATGTCCCACCATCTAGTGGTCAGCAGTGAAATTGCACCAACAACAAGATTTAAACCAAAATAATTACTGTTTAAAAATTGTCAGTCAAATCGGCGCAGAAGGATTACTGTGCTGTATTTTTTGTAAAATAAATAAAGATTGTGATGTCAGATGACATCACAATTAGTATCATGACCACTACTTGTGTTAAGGTTTGGTAAATAAGGTATCTTAAGTATCTATCTTCTATTCCATACATTATTATGTCAGAACCCCCCTAAAACAATCAGAATAATTTTTGCAAATACCGTATTTTCTTGACCCGTCCAAAGGGTCAAATTGTCCCGCCACATATCAAATCTCTTGACATCTTACGCAGTGTGTTGTGATGCGAACGGAGTCTTGAAGTGTGTGTGTGTGTGTGTGTGTGTGTGTGTGTGTGTGTGTGTGTGTGTGTTGGTGTGTGTGTGTGTGTGTGTGTGTGTGTGTGTGTGTGTGTGTGTGTGTGTGTGTGTGCGCGCGCACAGATGAAGAACAGTCTGGACCTGTAGCTGAGCAGAAAGAATGCGGTCATGAGAGTTGAGAAAACAAGCAAGAGAAGCAGCTTCAGGTTGGACACTTTCACTTCACACCGCTTCTCTGCCTGCATGCGTCCGTGCATGTGTGTGTGTGTTTCATGAATACTATTACAAGGCTCACGGAGCAAGTGAGTGGTGCTGCACACACCTCTAAGTGAGGACATAGGTCACCTCTTCTGTCTTGATTCCTCTCTCTTGTTCCACACACACACATACACATACTCACACACACACTTAATTTGGGACTCACGCACATTCTGCGGTGTCGAGGCACCGCAAGGTCACAGTATGTCAATTCTTGTCTCCATGGTGACAAAAGCCATCATGAGTGATTAGGTAACAATAACTAGACTCAAAAAACATACAAGGTGAAGAGAAAGAATGCTCTTGGCATGCGTATGGTCTTTATCCTCTGCGAAGAATGACAAATATTACCTCACAACCATTGTGTGAGGACCACTCCGTCATGTTTATCCATGTCATGATTATTCTCTCCCCGGATGGCCGAAGTACACAGCGGAATGTCCATTTAATTGAAGCAAAAATGTAATCATGAAAAAAAAAATCCAGTACTTGTTTACATTCTAGGATGTATGGAGCACCATATTACAGTTAGCTTGTTTTTTCTGAAGGACATTTGGGAACATATACGGATTTCCGAATGTGCCTGAAGGCAACAGCAGACTCGATTGGATTTGTTGCACAGACAGCACCAGTACTCACAAATAGATTTTCATTTTCCTACACAAACACTACACATTGAAGGAGATTTGAATGTTGTATTTGAATAAAATCGTTTTTAAATGAAGAAAAATTGCATAAATTGTAATATACTGAGTCAAAGTTGCAATATTCAGTCGTTTTGTTTTTTTTTTTTTTCCGATTGGTGAATGTGCAGTCAACCTCTGCTAATTGCACAGGGTTTGGGTCTGGGTTGGCATGCAAAGAGTGAAAATTGGCGTTTAATTTACACCCATTGGGGAAAAAAATATAAGTATATTATTCCACAAACGCTGATGACCATTTACTGTATGTTTTCAACAAAAAATGAAGGGAAAAAAACAAAATTAAATGTCAAATAATGAAAAATATATTGTGACGAAAAATTTAACAAAAGCCCCGCAAATATTTGAATCCATGGGTGCCGAAACATCATTACATCTATTTGAGGAAAATATTTAACATCAGACTGTCCTTAAAGATGAAGATAAAGATGACAAAGCACTACAACTCAGGTGATTTACTGATACATTTTAGTATTTTAGAATGTGTACTCCTTTGGAACAATAACAATTATGGCAATTGAAATCATTTGCTTACACCTTGGCATTCGGACATTTAGAATAAGCACGATTTAAAAATTATGACATTTTCAAGTCGAAATTTGAGGCACCCACCAACAACACAAACACCTTTACACCCCCACCCCTCTCATTCTCCCACCTACCTGATGACACGCACACACATCTTTCCATCTCCTACCGCCTCTAAAACCTTTTCCTCTCTGCTACAAACACACACACACACACACGCAGACACACACACACACACACACACACACCTTCTTTTTTTGTCAAGACCCCCCCCGTCAGCTACTCGCCTCCCCCCAGTAATCTGGCTGGCCCGTGGCCTCCCCTCTCTCGCTCCACTGTTCTGTGTGATAGAATATCGATCGCTTCGCCTCGCCTTGGCGGGGAGAGAGGGTGTTCGTGTGTGTGTGTGTGTGTGTATGCGCGTGCATGTGTGCAGATGTGTGTGTGTGTGTGTGTGTCTGTGTCTGTGTGTGTGTGTGTGTGTGTGTGTGTGTGTGTGTGTGTGTGTGTGTGTGTGTGGTGGTCAGGCGAGCTCCATCCAAGGTTGTTACCACAGCAACGGCGGATGGGTCAGGGGGTTGCCATGGCGCCTAGGTCGCCGGGTCATGGGGAGGGGTCCTGGAGGGATAAGGGGACTGTGTGTTTTTGTGCGGGGGGGGGGGTTGATACAGAGGTGTCCACTTATGCTCTTTTCATTTCATTATTTTTCATCAAACTGGAGAACACACTGAAAGTCAATCACATATTGATGATGATGATGATGATGATGATGATGATGATGATGATGATGATGATATTAACCCTTTCGTGCTCAAACAATGATTACCTGTAACCTGGTAACCTGATAAGCTGTCCACTGTAGTGACCGCTGTACCTGATAGGGTTCATGGCGACAACAACACAACTAAATATTCGATATCGAAATGAATACAAATGATCAATCTATGTTATCTATATTATCTTTTATTAAGGGTGTTGTATAATTTGTGTACAGTAATCATGCACTGAAGGGCGTTTTGCAACGAGCTATAACAAATTAGATTTTTTTTATTTATTCATTTTTTGGAACATTTTTAAGCATTATTGCTGCTATTGTGGTGATACGGTGCTGATGAGTGAAATCATTTACATGAAAAGCAAATATCAGTAAATATGACTTAAAAAAACAACAGGATTCCTTTTCAAGGCCTGAAGTGAATTCTGTAAATGTCACTCATATTTGCAAGTTTTACTATTGTTATGTGTCATGTGGGTTTACTTCTGTGGTCATATTTCATCGATTTTGAATGAATGAATAGAAAGAAGAACGAGATTCCGCCAGTCTGTTTTGTCATCCGGCCACTGGAGGGCGAGCTCTGCTCTCCTGCATCTTACAAGTGCGACTTAAATAAACAAACGAGCAAGTTGAATGCCTTTTGATCTTCTTTGGTTTTTTTTTGGGGGGGGGGGGGTTGTGAGCAAGCGCAGGCTGTCGGGGCCGCCTGGACGCCACCGCAACAGGCGGAACGGGATGTGGATGGCCTCGTGGCCTGGTGGCGTGTCGCCGTGGCAACAGAGAAGATGCTCCGAGGAGGGAAACCCCTGAAAGGCGCACATTGATTAAAAGGTAAGACGCCGGAAAAGGGGAGGCGGAAGTTGGGGGTAAGCTCACACATTTGTCCCGCCTTGGTTACGGTTCGACCACGAGGAAACTTTGGCCGTGTCTTTTCGAGTCTTTCTTTGATATGTTTTGCTTCTTTTCCTTCATTGCTTGCTTCCTTTATCGTTTTCTTCTTTTCCCTCCTTTTCTTCTTTGCCTTCTATTTTTCTTGTTCTTCTTTTCCTTCCTTGCATGATGCTTCTTTTCACTCATGTTCTCTCTACACATTTTCTTGACGATTTTCTTTCCTTTAGTTGCCTTTTTTCCCCCGATCCTTTTTTCGTTTCTCTCCTTTTTGCCCTTTGCCTTCTATTCCACCTTGCATTTTGCTTTGTTCATTGTTGTCCTTTTTCACCTCTATTCTTCTTTCTTTTTTAAACTTTCTTTCCCTGCGCTCGCTTCCTTTTTTGGTACATTTTCCCCCATCTTTCCTGATTTCATTTCTTTCACGTTTTGTGTTCTGCTTTGTCTTTTCTTCTCCTTTTTTTTTCTTTCTGTTCCATCTTTTCATTGGAGTCCTTTTTATTCTTTTCTTTGTTTAGCCTCTTTGTTGTTCTTTTTCTGTTCACTTGTTCACTTCTTTTTCTTCTTCCTTTTGTGACTTTTTATTTTCCTTTTCTTCCTTTCTTTTGGCGTTTCTCTTTTCTCGACTTCTCTTTCTTTGTTTCCAGTGATTTCCGTTTTCCTTCAAATCCTTGATTTTTTTTTCCTACCCTCTTTGCAGGCTGCAAGAGTCCAGATGGACCGCGGCTCCTTTTCTTCTCCGGGGGGGCCTGGCCGCACGTGCCGAGGACACGGGGCCTCCTCGCAGCATTTAATTTAAGATACCCTCCCGCCCCCTCTTTGTCCTCCCCTCCTCTTCTTCCTTTTTTTCCTCATGCTTTTTTGTTGTTGTTGTTGTTGTTCTCGGCCTCTTCTGACTCCTTGTATGCACGTCTGGTCCTCTCATTCTCTCATCCACGAATCCTTTTCTTCCTTTTACCTTTTGTTTTTCTCATCCTGTTGTCTACTCGTCCTCGCTTCCTCTCATCCTCTCACACCCTCCTCTTCTTGTCTTCTCATTCTGTCATGAACACTTTTTATCCCCTAATTTTTGCATCCCGTCATTTTGCGTCCCCCTCATCTTCTCATCCTCCGGACAAAGGTCCTCTCGTCTTCTCCTGTCGACTTCCCTCATCCTCACATCCGCTCCTCCTCTCATCTTCTTATTCTTTTAGATTTTTTAGATTTTTTTTCCCCATCTGCATCTTCCCATCATCTGGCCACCTCATCCTCTGACGCAGCAGCATGGCAGCACATGGATGCAATAGAGGATGCAAAATTTCACATCACGGGGAGAAAAGAAGCTGTCTTTATCTATGAACTGAAGCAAACCTAAAATGTAAACACTGAATTCTTTTTTTTTTTTTTCAATGTCAGCTCACACACAATTGCCTGACACAATATTTTGTACTCGTGAACCTGGATGTTATGCATTAAAAGAATTGTCAATCAAATGAAATCGTTCATTGGAAAATATGTTGGACTGCATTGTGTCACACAAAGGGTTGTTTCTATTATATAGGCGAGGTTTTTTTTTTTTTTTTGCACATGCACCTAATGATGTGTCTGCTACCTGTATGTCACTTTATGATTTAATTTGTGTTGGTTCTTCATAGGGCAAATAAATTTTACCTCTATATACACAGGCCCAAACTATTATCATTTTTAGGATTGTTGAAATATGATTTGAATTGCTTTTTTTTTTTTTTTTGCCCTGCTCCTTGAACGTGTCAGAGTATTTTTTAATCATCTGAACAATTCGCCAAATGTCCGCGTTCCCCCCACCTCATTTTCCACAAGTGGATTGTTGCTTTTCATTCTCATATTTTTCTTTGTTTTATTATTTAAAATATATGCCGAGCATATTTGCACACACGGCGTTTTGCTTCCCGCGCGTGATCTATTAATGCCGTCTGACTGTAATTGTTCTCGAATGACGACTTTATTTAATGAGCTGCCCGGGTGCGGAAATCGATGCCGACAAGACGTGAGTTCATTATGACAAATCGATTGAAAGGCTGAGAGGGTGCGGTGACGTCACAGCCTTTCCATTCACGGGCCTTTCTGGACACGCACGCGCCTGGCTATCGATCCGCGAGCGCGCAAACCCGCGCGCAGCGTCTAGTGCAGACGCTGCACGTGGACTTCGCCTGTTTTCGTGTTACGCTGCTTCATCTTCGAAATGTGAGATTTATTGTCGATTGAACATGTTTATCTGATGCGTGTTGGTTACATTTCAAGACGCTAAATCTGCAGATCAATGAATACAATGTGCGGTTGATAGTTGCAAAATAAAAGGTACAATTTTACGTTTTACACACTGACAATTGACCACATTGTAAGCAAATGTTTTCCTTGTTTATGTAATGTTTTAAATGCATGCATTTGAACCGTATTTTAATTGCACAATCGCAACCTCTGATAAATAAACGTCAATCTGCATATTTTGTTCATATAACCAAATTAATTCATCTGAAAAAAATGCAACATTTTAATGTAAATACGAGTGTTTCTTTCAGTAGAAAATGTGAAGGATTTTTTTTCAAACATGAAATAATTTGACCTTTTTGATTTCTCATTTTCTAGATTTTTGTTGAGACCATGAAGACTCCACGGTGATAATAAAAACGCAAATAACTGCCAGGTGTATATATGAGTGCTGTATCTTATTTTTAAGAGAGAAAATAAAAACAAATCAACTAAATGTGTGTTTTTCTTTCATTTGAATGGCTCAGTCACAGCCACTGTTTCCTGCGCACACAAAATTGTCGTGGCTATTTGTAACGAGAACGTTATAAAATTGAATCGTGTCTCCTGATCTTACAATTTGTGAGCTCCTCTAGAAAAATGTCGTTTTTAGAAAAAATACAGCAGCGTGAATTATAAACTCAACAAACGTGCTTCTTTAAAAAAAATTAAAACAGGAACAGTAACAGCAACGTGATTGTGTCTTCAGTGCTGACATGCTGACTTTCCTTTAATTTTATTTTATTGATTTTTCTCGCTTCAGCTTCCTGGGGCGACGGTGACCCCACCTCCGTGACGTCAGAGGTCAGCCAGGCCAGCCATTGCAGCCACTCGTTACACGCAATCGCGGTCCCTTTTCTCACTTTGGCCATCCATCTCTCCATCTCTCCATCCCTCCATTCATTCATTCATTCATCCTCCCCCCCCCCCCAACAAGCGAGCACCAGGTGAGGCCGGCTCCATTTAATCACGTCCCGGTTTCAGAAAGCCCCGAAAGCCGCACTTTTTTTTGTCGGAACTATAGCGCGTTTTGGAAGCCGTTAAGTGGATAGCTGCCGCCGACGCGAATTTGTCACAAATTGAGCCTTCAACTGGCTCGACAGCTCATTTGTGGATTTTGGTATAAAACAACACGCAATGAAGCCCGTTAAAGTGAAATCACGTTCGAGTTTATCGTGTTTTTAAAGTGAGGCTAATCGCAATTAGCCACATTTGGCCCATCTCGATGCACCGTGACGTCACTTCATTTCAGGTTTTTTTTTTTTTCTCTTCGTATTAATTCCGTGCATTTGATATCTAACATGCGATACTTAGCTCGTTTATTTAAATCAAATTAGCTCAGCAAAACACCCACTTTTGAACGCCGTTGACAACTAATTTGTGACCTAATTTTATGTACAACAGCGAAGCGATGGGAAGTGGAAGAAGAATCTTTGATTGAGACACGATAAAAACGTCCGTCAGCGTATTTGTTGCTTCATATCAAATTAAAACAAACACTCGCAATTTAGTCACAAATTAAAAGTCATTTGTGGCTTTAAGTTTGTAAAAGAATTTAAAGTAAAAGCTAGTTTTAAACATAGGTTCATCTCATGAAGCTACATTTGGCCGACGTTTGTTTCGTTCCATTGGGTAGAATGGGAACATTCTTCCGTCATGTTTTTACAGTAAGTAAGCTTGACTGATCACTGTTAGATTTCAAAAGAAGTGAGTGAGTTACATGAGAAATTTGTGTGCAGCCAGTCCGGTTGTGTGCATCTCTTCCTCCGTGGCTAATAAGGATCAGAGTGTCTGCTGGCTGATAAGCGGCACAGTCCTGCTGATGCTGCCCCCAAACACCCTCATAACCCCACCATCACTGTGGACCACATGAACTGATAACGGCTGTAAGTATGCTTTTCTGGCTTGCTTGCTTGCTCTTGTGTGCGTGTGTGTGTGTGTGTGTGTGTGTGTGTGTGTGTGTGTGTGTGTGTGTATTTTTATTTTTTCAAATGGATACACGAGCACAATCGTCTCCTCACAAAGTTGAATCGGAGCAACTGGACTTTTCCAGGATATTTTACCTTTATTCCAAAAAGCTTCTTCAGTTGACAATCTTTGCTGTTAGCGAGAGCTGAAGAATCAACAGTTCATTTATGTATAAAAAAAAAATCTGGGATATATTACTTTTGATGACGAATATGGCCAAATCTGTACAGAATGGATCACCCTTTTGAGAGTGGCGTAAATGAAGCCATCGGTGGGAAACTACGGTAGAAAGGCCTACACCAAACAGTTTGTCGCTCGTCAGCTGCGTACAACAATGTGCTGGCATCCACCAAAGATTGCCGCTGACCACGGCCAACAAACTGACAAATCACTAACTGACCAACCAACCACCCAAGCAAACCTGCCAAACCAACCAGTCAGTTGTAACCCTAACCAGTCAGTTCACTTAATAACTAGCCAACCAGTCACGATCAATTTACCGACCAATAAACCAACCACTCAATTTAGTCAACTAACCAACCAACCACTTGACCAACTTTCCAAACCTACAACTCACCGATTGAACAAAAATAATTATATCATTTGACTTAATAGCCAACGAATTTACCAACTACCCTCTCATTAACTATTAAATCTGACCAATTCACCAATCACACTGAAGGTGGCTCCGAAGTCTTGAGGCAGTCTCACAATCTTCTCTGTGACATCACAGAAAGTCCCGTGATGTCTGATCCGATCGGGGCAGGAAAACTCTAACTGCTCTCGCATTGATTTCCAGTAATCCTCCCAACCCGCATGTGTGATGCAGGCTCGGAATTGTCACATGCGTGTGCGTGTTGCTGACCGCCTGTCGCCGTGGCGATAATAGCTGCTAATGAGATATTAACCCTCGGATAATGAAGAAGCAGGAAGCTGGTAGCGCGTCCATCGATTGCTTCCAACTTGATCAATAGTGTTGCGGCCTGTTCTTTGACAGCGGTGGAGGCGACAAGCGGCTTGACCTGGTCGCCTGGAAAGCAACCCGACAACTCCGACACACACACACACACACACACACACACACACACACACACACACACACACACACACACACACACACACACACACACTAGTGAGTGACTGTGTTGTCCAGCTGCTTAAAATGCAAGCGAGCAGTCGTGCCCTCTAGGTCAAAGGTTAACGCCATCCCAGACGTCTGACCCCATCCACCAAGGGTTGACCTCCAGGGTTGTGTGTGTGTGTGTGTGTGTGTGTGTGTGTGTGTGTGTGTGTGTGTGTGAGTGTGTGTGTGCGCGCGTGTGCGTGTGTGTACCTGGGTATATTTTAGGGATGCAGCCTGAAAGATCGAGCAAAAGGACAGATGGAGGAGAAAATCAAGTGAGTGTTAATGTATATTTATACCAAAACACAGGGCTGAACGAGATGACATTTAAAATTAAAAATCCCCCACATCTGATTTTGACCATGACATTAAAAGTATTCAGATATTGGGAATTATACATGTAACTATTTTTGTTTCCGTCTGTTTTGTTTTCAATCGTGATCATCTCTAACATCCTAAATAATTAATAGTAATTTTAAAAACAAAACTTAAAAAGAAAAATTACCATTTTAATTTGTGTCTCCAAAATCGTGTTTGAAATAGTTCATAGAGCACATTCAATACAGTTCAGTTCTCCATATTTTAATAAGAATTATAATTGCTTAAATTTCTATTTTACCTTTTTATGGTTTAGCACAAAAAATAATGTAAAAATATTTACTGGGATGCTTTATTTAGGCCAATTAAAAAAAAACCAGTCATGTCTGAGAATATTACTTGAGGTGAAGAAAAATAGTGATTGAATACAAAAGGTGTAAGCTGTAAGGCCACGTAAATATTTTAAATGTATCGTACAAAATTTGTGTCATTTTAACAATGCAATTGTCTCAATAAGAAGTGTTAATTCTGTTGCCTCCCAAATGGAAATGACATTATATGTACTATTTATGTCTCTACATTTAATTTCCCAGTAAATCATTTTAGTGTCTCTTTTTATTTTTTATGAGAATATCCATCAAGTATTAATGACCCAATCATGTAGTATCCGGCTTTGCTGTGCCTGAGCGGAGGTTTTCTTTTTGTGATTGCAGTTAAAGAAGCGTCCAGAAAATAGGCCGGTCCCGACTCCTCCTTGGCCCGTCCTCACTAGCTGCCGTGCGTTGCTTCAAAGACGAAGGTGAGTGTGAGGAGGAGGAGGAGGTTGAAATAGAGGAGGCAGGATAAAAGCGGGGCTGGAAATCCGGCTAGCCGAGACCCCTCCTCCCGTGCCGTGCCCCCTTCTCGTAACATTCTTCTTCTCCGCTTCTGCGCTCTCCCTCACCGCTTAATCCTTTACTACTTGGCTGCATATGTTTCCTAATCCAGCCTGCGTGTGTGGGAGGCCCGCCTTCATCCACCTCCTCCGTCGCATTGTTGCATCACTTTGCTTATTTTGGATTACAGCCTCAAATACTTGGGGTTTTTTTTGTTGTTTTTTTAAAATCTTTTTATATCCACTCCTCTTTTGCTTCTTCCGTTTTCAACCCCAACAACAATCCCCGAAAAGTCAAGACACCTTTTGAATGTAGAGTGAACCTCTGTTTAATACCAGAGATGCATTCCAGCAAAAGGTCAACTGAGATATGGAGAAACCAAACAACAAATATTTTTTACACTTCTTAAAAAATATTTCTTAAAAGTATTCCTCACTGCTTGTTTTCAGTTTTTCGCACGCACGGTTCTCCAAATAAGAGGAAAAGTGTGCTTGCTTCAAGTTAACTAAAAACGTGAAATTCAACCCTGGGAAATTTAAACGACAATAATTTCCGTAAGCATAAATACCGTCATGCTAACATGTAACGCAAAATGCAATAGACAGGCTCACGGAAATGAACATAAATTTTGTGGTAATTACACACCAGCCTTTCACACTATCTAATTGAAGTCCATTAGCTCAATGCTAACATATGTGAGATATCATAGACCAGCGAACACAAATTAGCATCAATATTAGGTTAATTATAAACCTTTCAACAACTGCTACACACACGCAGCAGCAACGCATACAAACGGAGCATTCAACAATTTTCCGTGGCATTATTTTCTCTCTGAACTGTGACGAATATTCCAGGAGAGCTCCTTCCTTCCTGGTAAGTTGTGGTACTCCATTAAAGACGGCAACTAAAAAAAATGCTTAAAAGCTTAAAATTCCGCAATATTGCGGTTCCAAAATCACAAGCTTATTTTTTAAAAAGGTTTTTCAAAAACAAGACAGCATCATTGCAATTATATTTTTCCCCGCTAGTGCTCTCATTTTCTCTCTCAGGTGATTTTCTTCTTCTTCTTATCCCTTATTACAGCTGTTCTTGAAAACACGTTCTTTTTGTCCGCCGTACTGCTTTCGCTTTGCCTCGTCGCTGAATGAGTCTTTTGTGTCGTCTTGTAGAGGCACATGCCAAGTCAAGTTATTCCACGGCAGCTTGAATGGGATGAACAACCATCCAAACGGCCCCCCCCCCCCCACCTCCCGCCCACTCCCAAAAAGGTAAAATTAGACAATATTATAAATCTGCTGGAGACTAGCATAAAATAAACAATTAAATAAATAAAAAGATCAGGATCTAGTTTATATAAAATAAAATGAATTTCTTTTCAATAATAAAAAATATTCTAATATCCATCCATCCGTTTTCCGATTCACTTATCCCCACAAGGGTCGCGGGGGTGTCTGGAGCCCATGCTAGCCGTCTTTGGGCAGTAGGCGGGGGACACCCTGAACCGGTCGCCAGCCAATCACAGGGCACACGGAGACGAACAACCATCCGCGCTCACACTCACACCTAGGGACAGTTTAGAGCAGTGGTTCTTAACCTGGGTTCGATCGAACCCTAGGGGTTCGGTGAATCGTTCTCAGGGGTTCGACAGAGCCTCTGCCATGTAGGTTAAGACACGCCCAACTCAACATGTCAATTAGTTATGACACGCCCGCTTGGCCATCACTGGCTGGTTCATTTTGTGCAAAACTCAAAAACGTATACTTTATAATTTTACTAATTGTGTTTAATTTTTTTGTATTTTTAATAAATGCATTTTTTTAATGTCTTGAATTTGTCAAAAAAAAAATCACACTTGCTAAATACTGAATGTGCATATGAACCGGTTGGGTTCAGCACCTCTAACAAGGTTAGAAACCACTGGTTTAGAGTGTTCAATCAGCCTGCCATGCATGTTTTTGGAATGTGGGAGGAAACCGGAGTACCCAGAGAAAAGCCACGCAAGCCCAGGGACAACATGCAAACTCTACACAGGGAGGCTGGAGCTGGAATTGAACCCTGTACCTCTGCACTGTGAGGTCAACGCACTAACCACTGGACCACCGGGCCGATAATTCAAGTATTCAAAGTTAAAATACATATAAAGAAAATCTTCTTGAAAGTATTCCAATCAGAATTGATTGTGAATGAATTATTCATTGCAACGCCTCTCATACAATTACAATATTGATATGAGCTCCTTTTTATAACATATAACTACTTGGAGGAAAGCAAATGAATCCCCAAAAATAATTACCGGTACTCATCAATTCTACACCTATGCGCTTATTATATGAATTCTAAATTAAATGACACATTTCCTGTAAATGGGCTAACACAAATTAGCATCGGTGTTGGACTAATTATAACACATAAGTATTACAGTATGGTTGTGTCGAAATAGATGAGCCACGATATTGCGAGGGTTCGCTGGAACGTATTCTGTTAATTGCATGTGCACGTTTTCGGAGTTTTCCAAACCCTCGCTGCTCGGGGGATGCCCAGCCTCGTCAATCGTGTCATATCGATAGGTTAAGAGGCGTCGTGTCACATTCACTAACTCCCTGATTAGTAGACACTTTGGTAATCCACAAGGGGACCTGAGCTATTGGGTTGGCCCATTGATTTCGGCACTGCCGCCGCCAGCCGCGGGGTCGGAAGTGAGCCTGACTCTATCGATTGGCCCCGCGACAACCCCGCACACCGCGTGCGGGCATGCACACAAACATACACCATGAAGGGAAATATATTTATAATAATCAATAATCGGAACATAGTTTTGGACTGAAATCATTTTGAATATTTTTTTTCAAAATAGTTTTTAATATTTAGAATTTTATAGAACTGAATGATTAATTGCATTGCATCTTAAATATATTTTTATTTTTTTAATTTTTAAATGAAATTATGAGGGTAAAAAAATGAATCAAATTACAAATATATTATCAATAAATACTTTTGTAATTACAAATGATTACATATATTTTATCATAAAATATTTGAAAATATACATCCAAATTCTGACATAAACACCAAGAGGAAGATCATAATTAAAACTCAAAATATATTTTTGCAATGATTGGCAGTAAATAAACAGCGTGTGTGTGTGTGTGTGTGTGTGTGTGTGTGTGTGTGTGTGTGTGTGTGTGTGTGTGTGTGTGTGTTTGCGTTTGCGTGTGGGCTCGGGTTCATGGCGGTTAAACATTTTTCTTCCTTCTTAATTGTTTTTACTCGGGCCATCGGCATCCCGATTAGGCGCCATTGATTCCCCTCTGCTAACTTCATTGATTTCTACATTTCTCATTGATCTCCGCTTCTAAATCTGCCCGCACGCGTTCACTGTGTCTCCTTCTCGTGTGTGTGTGTGCGTGTGTGCGTGTGTGCGTGTGTGTGTGTGTGTGTGTGTGTGTGTGTGTGTGTGTGTGTGTGTGTATCAGCATTTATTCGTGTTATCTGTCCACGCTTGATAAATTTCCACCAGTAATTAACAACACTTCAAACCTTTGCAGGGACCATTTTTATATCCGGCTATTCGCTGGCACCCATATCACTCACCAGACTGGATACCGCCATTTAAACCCATGCAGCCTCAAAGTCACAAATAACCTTCTGACACGCTCCAAAATAATTCCACTGGGGAAACCGTTCCCAAATGTCTAAATGGCGTGTGTCTCTACACACCATCCAATTTTTGAGCTTAAAATTGTTCGCTAAAAATGAAACTGTAGCTTTTTAAAGCTACGCACTCCATTTGAGATTTGGCGCACCTCCTCCACTTCCTCTCCTGCTTATTTATTTCTTTTCTCCATTTCCCGCACTCCGCGCTTGATCCTCTCACAGTTGATTTCGGTCATATCACACGTTCTCAGGCAGACAGACGCACCTGCACGCCAGAGGTTACGCCGGCTTGCAAAGCCGCATCCGTGTCATCGGTATAAACGTTGGCCTTGATGGGGCCGCGATCGTGCCAAGCTAAGCGGTTTAGGCTGCACCCTAGCGGGGCTTTCACGCGTGTTACGGCGTCTTTGGCGTCGGCGCGGCACATTACGCCGCTCATAAAGCCATGGCGGAAAAAAAAATGTCCCACATGTTGGCATAAAACGAGCACTTAGGTAAGTTTTTACGCTAGTGAGCTGCGATGCTATGAGCGCTAATGCGGCACCGACGGTGCGTTTGACACCTTTTTTTTTTTGTTGTTGTTTTTTTTTTTTTTTGTAGCACATGGTCCGACTGCAAGTAATGGCTACTTGGCAGCCATATTGATTACTTTTGGTAGCCATGCCACGCCGGGCCAGAAAGTTGCTCAAAATAGATACCCTCACTTAAGATTTGAATGTGTTTTGTGTTTATTCCCTTTAGAGGTGTGGGCTAGTGAGTGATATCAGAAGCTGGAATCCAGTTGGCCGGTTAGTCTTAGTGTTTCATTTCATATTTTTGAGTTTGACTGATCAGTAAACAGACGAAAGTGCTTTGGCTCTCCTTACCCACGCGTGAGGTCATCAAAGTGTCTTATTGTCTGGTGGTGCTATCTGGAGCTTGTCTAACCAACTTTATTTTCCTAGTTTGCTGTCGAACAAAATGTTTTAGGTCTGTCGACATTTGGTATCCATTCGTAGTGAGATCGACCAATTACGTTTGAGCTTGCACTGTTTACGCGCGGATAAAATCATTAATTTGGGAGTTGTCCCGTCGAAAGTGTATAATAAAATAAAAACATCTGGCATCTCTTAACACTCTCCTTGGGCTGTGCGTTAAACTTTATTCATTGCTGATTGTTTTTTTGTTTTGTTTTTAAATATATCTAGGCATGCTTGTGTTAGTGCATTTTGTTGTTTGGGCACGCTTGTGCTCTAGCTTGTGACAAAATTGTGTGTGCGTGCGTGTGTGTGTGTGTGCGTGAGTGATCAGATGTGCGTTGTGGCATGTGTCCAGCATCAGATTGTTATTTTTTTTAAAAGTATATTATAGGAGGGCGGAAAAGAAAAAAGAAAAATATTGCTATTGATGAGGGCCGCCGTGCGCCATGTTGCTCACCTCTCCTTCACACACACACACACACACACACACACACACACACACACCCTCCCCATCTGCGATGGACGCACAACACACACTATATTTTTCAAGAAATAATTGCTTTTGTCTGGAAGGAGTTTGGATGTGGGGGCTCCTGCGCGCTCAAAGCCTTTTATCTGCAGAGGGGGGCTCCGGAGGGCCGAGCGGTCGTTGCGTCCGTTCTCTCGCTCTCTCATTGGACACGCGGACGTCATCTGTCAATGGGGAGGGAGGGCAAGAAGGAGACATTGGGAGGAGGAGGGGGTGAGGTTTTAGCTTGTTGGGGCTTCTTTGTAATGCCATACTGAAGGACGGGAGCTCAGTGGAGGACAGAATATTAGGTACACCTGCACCAGCAACAAATGTGCCCCGAACGAGTATCGTGTCCTCCATTTTTATTGATTTTGATTGCACGGGTAGATGATGCATTTTAACCTGGCCCGCCGAGCATTTGCATCATCAAGAGTCTTGCAATATCTGTTGCATGAGTGTAGCTCATTTTGCACAAAATTGGTTCATTGAAATGTGTTCATTCCAATGTTTTTTTCCTTTTTCATTCATCTTGCTCATTGCATAATTGGATGATTTGCTGAATGAAACAACTTATTCTCATTTTTCACTTATTTAAAATAAATGCATTAGAATTCATTAATGGTTCAATACACAGAACTAAATGCATTACAGAAAAAAAATCCCTCATCTCCAAATGACCCTCCCTGATTTTTTAAAAAAATATTTTTTTTTTCTCCCCTCGTGTGCCGACTTTGGCCCACCCACGGCCGCTCATTGTCACGCCGCCGAGTGTCCGTTTCAGTTTCGATAGCGTCCAAGTCAGCTGAGCGGCGCTTTCCCCGTATCCGTTGCAGTGCAAAGCGCCGACAGAGATCCCGCAGGGACTGTAACGGATCAATAACTTATTAACACCTGGTCCCTTCAGGAGTGTACGAGGAGGAGAGCAGCGCGCTTGATTATTGACTGCCATATTTACCGTATTGATTAGTGTATTTGAAAGAATCTTTATTGGCGCCGGTGATGATCTGTAGCGTTTACTCACAGTACATAGTCAACATCTCTACTCGCTATTGTTGCAACGACCGTTTCCTTCAAATAGTACTTGATGCCTTGATTTAAGTCCAGTTTTATAGTACATAATAAAACCCGAGTAATATAATGGAATACAGTGATGCTGCAAGCAAGTTACTCACTCTTGGCTGCCATTTTTGACAGGTTCCGGACCGAATCGAAAATGTCGGGGGGTTCCAGAAATGCAGACGCAAATAAAGTGCGATAACAAAAATATTTATTGACAGAAAAGCGCACCGACAAAGTACAAGCGGAAATCGCTGGTCACAAGGAGCCAGGAGAAACAATGCATCAACAAAAGCGCTTGCAAAAGGCAAGGCACTAAGGAACACCAAGAATAACGAAACAAAATATCAAGAAGCCAAAAACGTGAAGCCAAAGATCAAGAGCAACAAGATTAAACAAAAAACATACGTACAAAATAGAATCTACGAATAACGAGAGCGACGATGGAGGGTTTCGAGAGGTCTAGAAAACAACACTTGAAGCCCGACAGCGAGCAAGGTCAATAATCCGACAAGAGACTCGGCAGCTTGGCAGTCCGTCAATACTTGATGGGGAAAGGCCGAACGGGTGTGCCTGCTGGAGGGACACGCCCTTCACTCCAGCTGAAGCAAAAACACAATCAAAGCAGACAGAACATGACAATTTTGAGTGACAATAATCAAACGCCTTACGACAGTCAATATGGTAGTCATATTTAGTCTGATTTTTTTATACAAACGAGTAGACCAGTTTTGCTAAAGGGAAACCAGAAAGACTTTTTCTTAAATCATTCCTCTAAGTTCCTTTCAAAATCAAGAAATCAGTAAAGTTTTTAGTAAGTCAACCACTCCAATAGAAGTATAAAATATAGATTGCCTTTAATGTTAATTCAAAGTTTATTTTAGCAACTTTTGAAGTGGAATTTTTAAGGAAAGTTTCGGTTCAGCTCCAAATTCGATCACCTATGGAAGGTGCAAGGTACTACTGTAAAAATGTAAACATGAGAAGAAAGAACGAGAGAGGTGCCCCTACTGAAATATACATCAAACGCACGTGTGTGTGTGTGTGTATGTGTGTGTGTGTGTGTGTGTGTGTGTGTCTGTGTGTGTGCGTGCGTGCGTGCGTGCGTGCGTGTGTGTGTGAGGAGGTAATCGATGCATCTTTGCTGATGTGATGTTGTGAATATTGGCTTTATTGTAATGACGTTTTCAGAGGATCAATTTGCTGGATCGGCGCGTGGACAAGTGTGACAAAAACGAAGGCTGTTGTCGAGTAAATAGAAGCTAAAAAGCAAGACGTTGCTGCCGTCTGTAAGTTTCAATTTGAATTCTTCAGTTTCACTTTGAATTTGTATTTGTGAGGTTGACTTCCTTACACTGACATTATGTCCCATGCAAAACTTCAGAAATAATAATACAAAAGGCATTAAAATAAAGTCTTTGTCAAATTCGGATGGCACAAAAATTTGGTTTATATTTTTAACATTTAGAAAAGTGCCAAAAATTGAAATAATTACATCTCAGAAAAGTGGAAAAAAATTAACATTCAAATTCAAACTCAGAATTTCAATTTTGACTCAGGTCACCCTTGAATTTGAATTCCTTCGGTCAAATTTGAATTTCTGATTTTAAAGTAGAATTTCAAATGTTTTAATTTAAATTTCAGATATTGAATTTGGATTTCAGAGCTTGAATTGTAATTTCCAACACTTTTTTAACCATGAAATTGCGAAAAAAGAAAATTTCTGTCTGTGGAAAAAATTGTCAGAATTCAAATTTTGAAATTTGAATTGACATTCTTGATAATTTGTTGATTATGAATTCCTGTGTTCCAATTTGGATTTCTGTTTTTAAATTCAAATTTCTGAGATTCATTTAGAATTTCTAATGCTGAATTAACGATAATTTCAGTTTAAAAAAAAAAAATAAAATAAAGTTAATCTAGAAAAATCCATCCATCCATTTACTAAGCCGTTTATCCTCACAAAGATCGCGGGCGTGCCGGAGCCAATCCCAGCCGTCTTCGGGCAGTAGGCGGGGGACACCCTGAACTGGTTGCCAGCCAATCGCAGGACACACATAGAAAAACAACCATCCGTGCTCACAATCACACCTAGGAAAATTTTTGAGTGTTCCATTGACCTGCCAAGCATGTTTTTGGAATGTGGGAGGAAGTACCCGGAGAAAACTCACGCAGGCACGGGGAGAACATGCAAATGCCGCAACCGGAATCGAACCCTGCGCCTCTGCACTGTGAGGCCAATGAGCTAACCAGTCGTCCACCGTCCCGCCCGTCTAGAAAAATTGATATGTATAAATTTAACACGATCACAATTCGAATTCACTCATTTGGCACATGACTCAGAAAGTATTATCTGTACCATCTGACTTTGAATTTAAATTTCTGAGTTTGATGTTTTTTTTCTGAGCTTTTTGACAGAATTTACATATTTTTGTGACTGTGAATTTGCAAATTTCAGATCGAAGTCAGAAATTCTAAATAAAAATCTGATACATTTCCATATCAAAAATAATCCCTTTGAACTGAAATAAATGTTCAGTGTGTGTGTGTGTGTGTGTTGGGGGGGAGTACATAGAGGGAGAGAGAGAGAGATAGAGAGTAAAAAAGAGTGGGGGTTGGGGGTGTGTGTAAAATCGGGGGTGGGTGTCTCTTGTCTGTTGTATCCTGGCCGAGGCGCCTCACGAGCAGCAGAGCGCGTTGAGGCTGCGCGGCGACGGAACACGACCACCGTCGTTATTAGGTGGGGGGGCGGGGCGAATCCCGCCTTGCACCGAACAACCGATAGACGCGTCCACATGGATTTACTCATTAATTGATCAGCTCTCTTGATCACCTTTTTGCTTTTCATGCGATTCATTCAAGCGGAGAAACGGACACTTCGCCTCCAATCGGGGGTTCGCGCGGAATGTGAGCGGTGCACATCGAGGACCCGCGATGCTGTCTTTAGGCGCACGAGCGGGAGCTTAGCGCTTCACCTGCGCCCCAAAATCTCCCCCCTACCCCCACCCCGAGCTTTAACTGTCACTGCCAAAGAGAAAAACAGGACAAAAGAACCAAAAAAGAATTGAAACAAGATCACACTATCAAGAACCCCCCCCCCCGAAAAAAAACGCTCCTGTTTTTTCTGTCCAAAGCAGAAGATCGGAGGGAGAACTAAAGCCGAGAGGAGAGCACAATAAGGAGCAAAAAAGGGGTCTCAGGTCGACGGAGGACCATGTTTGTCCCCCTGCCGGTGCCCTTCGTCTTTCAGAGAACCGCATCCGACTTCAGCGCCTGGAGACTCAAGTCGTCGCTGGCTCCGCGGTCCAGCCCCGGTAAGACCCCACCGGAAACCTCAGCGGCATTTTTTTCAAATGGAGAATAGTCATTGGACTAATTGGACATGACTGATCAAACCAGTGAATGGTCAGATATTTTGATGAAAGAACTTTGACGAATACGAGGTATCCCAAAAATTTACTCTCTGGCCATTCTTTCATTTGGATTCATTCATAATTGTGCCAAGCCAAATAAGAAAATTAGAGAAAGTAACTTTACGCTAGTCTTCATCTGAAATTAAAAAAAAAAAAAAAAAGAGTAATGAATCTTTTTTTTTTTCTTTTTCACCCTGTATTGAAATTCACCTGAATTATAAATCAAAAGTTTTCCCCTCGACTACTATGTCGAATTCACAAGTAGGTGATGCATGGAGGGGATTTATCATTTATTTATCAAAGTATAACATTCCTTGAAATTTTTTTTTTCTTTCCAAAAGTCAGTTCAGCTTATTATTTTTGCGGGTTTTAATGGGGAAGTTTGCATTCATGTGCATATTTGTCCATGAGGTAACGTGTATTCCTCATTCGCGCATCCATTCCGCATGTCTCCTCCGGCCAGGTTCATGGTCATCTATTGATTAGTACATATTGATCCAGGTCTGGGAAAGCTCGGGGGTGGCAAGTGGGTTTGCAAGTGTGTGTGTGTGTGTGTGTGTGTGTGTGTGTGTGTGTGTGTGTGTGTGTGTGTGTGTGTGTGTGTGTGTGTGTCTCTCTCTCTCGCTCTCTCTCTCACTCTCTCTCTGCGAATGAGTTGTGAATGTTTTGACAGTTTCTGTGTGTACACGAGTTATTTAAGTGTGTTTTGTAATCATTGATTCATGAAAAATGTTTTGGTTCTGTTTCCCACAAATTCCAGTGCTTTTTTGTTTCCTACAAAATCTGACAGAAATCTTGACTTGCGTCCATCAACAGCGATGATCTTCTTCTTTTTTTTTGGGGGGGGGTTATCAGGGCATATTCTTACATCAAGTTTTATTCACCCAATAGGGACTAAAATCACTAAAATGTGTATTTGACATTTTAGTGATTGTAGTCAACCCAGAAACATGGCCGTCTCCCCCCGCCCCCAACTCTCTTTCTAATTGTAAATAAATACATTAAAAATAGAGAAATCCTACACATTTCTAATATGACTGACTCCAGCCACCCATTTTGAATCACCGTTCTTTAAATAGGACTAACAACTTAGAGTTCATACATTTTCACCGGCAGTATATTTCCCTTTAAAAGTACTGTCTTGTTCATAGTGTGTGTGTGTGTGTGTGTGTGTGTGTGTGTATTCGTAGTGTGTGTGTGTGTGTGTGTGTGTGTGTGTGTGTGTGTGTGTGTGTGTGTGTGTGTGTGTTCAAGTGAGACTGGAGGTGAAAGTGTCCTCCATCCACCAGCACTGTCCCCATCCCCACTACACTGGCTCAGTTCATCCAGGCGGAAATATCTAATGGCCGCTGTGGGGGGTGGAATGGGGTTTGGCATGTGTATGGGGCAGGGGCGAGGGGGGTCGAGTTGCTGGTTGATTTAGGGGGGGGGGGGTGTGGCGGGGTAATTCAGCCTATCACCTTAAGTAGATGTCAACGGCAGGAGGAAAAAAATGGCGGCGGGTGTAGTGGACATTTGACAGGCGAGGCATAATCACTCTTTGAAGTGGGGGGGGGTCACTTTGTCTTTTGATGGTTTATGAAAGGAAAGTGCCAAAGAAAAAAATGAATAATGAATGAGGGGTGTACGCTAACAGGGATAGAGGATGACTTCATGCACTTTATTAGCTACACCTGCAGCCAGCTAATGACGTTGACAAAATGACAAACTTTTCGCCGTTTACTTTTTGATTGATACTGCGAGAGACTTCTTTTGCAATGTGGTTATTATTGCACTTGTTCGAAGAAAATAGCTTGAGAAGAAATCTCTTCGACACTCAAAACTTTTTACGAAATGTTGGAAAGCCCCGCCTCTTCCCTCACTCTCAACGTTTTGTCACCTGAAGATTGAACGTTTTTAGATAACGAGTGAAAATAGGTTTGATATGTTTTAGGGAGCCAGGATTTGTTTAAAAAATGGATTCTGTCATGCTTCGGTGCTGAAGGAACAGGTCAGCCATGAGGGTAACTTTGTGTCGAGATTCCTTCCCATCTGTTACACTGCCAAGCAAATTGTTTTTCTTCTACTGTATCACTTATTGCTTGAAGACCTTTGAAAAAGAGTTTGGCAAAGATGACATGGTTCGTCGTTTATGAAGTTTTAAAGGATTTGCTTTACTGTACCGATAAGCATGTTTTTGAGCCGGACATTGGTGATTAAGAAACCTGCTCAAAAAACAAAAAAAATAAATAAATAGTATTTAAAAGTTAAAACAATACAAAAACTAAGTGTTATGATACTAAAGTGCGGATCAAAAGGTGGGGCGCTCATCCATCCTTGTCTAGTTTTTCTGTCTCATCCCGTCTCTACAGAGAGTTGGCATCTGCCAGTCCTCGTCAACTCGGCGGACTTCCAAAGCCTTGCCGGTGGAAAAACAAACCCCGGCGCTGTCTCGTCTCCCTAGCCGACGTTGAATTGGATTTGCTCGCCGCGGGCCGGGCCCCCATAAGCCACTTTAGCTAAGTCTGTTAGCCGCAAGTCTGCCTGGCTGTGATCTGCACCTTTGACCGTGGCTGCGCATCTGTATGATTGCTTGTGACCTCTCACACTTTCGCTCTCTTAACTCTCCCCCTCGGTGTTGATACGCGACGGCCGAAGACCAAACCGGCCGCATTCGGCAGACGCTCGCGTGAACTCGGCTTACTGGGTTTTTCTGGGCTCGGCCTGGGCTCAGTCGCGTCGCCTCATCAGCAGCTTTCCAATGGGGTAGAATTCATCATGATTCCAGTCCTTTTGCGCACTGAAATATTTTGGGAGTTGCACTACCCTTAGAAGTGTAATTCGATAAATCGATCAATAGTTTATTTAGAAAGCAGCTTTTTTTATTTACAAAAAAAAAAAAACATGAAGTGTTTCACAGAACAGAGAACCAGAAAGGGTAAGAGAAGAAATGCTGAATGTTTTTTTTAGTCCATGCAGCAAACTCGTTCCATGTGCCATTCGCCACTTTGAAAGATGGTAAACCGAAGACTCCTTTGTATCGATGTTGCCATGACGCCAATAACCTTTATTCCTCATGATGGGTGAAAGTAGATTTTTTTTTTGTTTGTTTTTTTACCAGGATGAAGCACTTATTTTCACATTACCTGTAACGGAAAAAAAACGAATTTTCATTTCCGTGAAAGTTGAAGCAGTTGAATGCTTGGAAAAAAACATGTTTGAAAGCTTTGTTGGGATTTTGAGAAATCTCAGAATGGAGGAAAAATAAAAAGAAACATGTTAGGGATGATGTTCATTGCCATTTTTTTTTCTCAAAGCAAATGGGAAAAAAAAAGATAAAAATGGAAAAAAAAAACAATCTGGTTGATTTTTCCAAGTCCCCGTGAAGTGCAAACATGCCTTATGAATTCATTAGACCACAGAGAAAAGTGACGTATTTGATTAATTAAAAATAGCCTTCCAAATAACGAAAACTCAAGCTCTTGACTCCCCACTCAAATGCTGTTTCTCTGTCCGCTGATTGTGTGCAAACATGCTCCGTGGAAGAAATGGATGAACTGGAAAAATACAGCCACTGACGACCACACGTAGCTGCAATATTTGCGACAGAGAGGCACAGGCCAAGTTAACAAAGTAACTTGCAATAATACCCACCGATGCGAACGAAAGTGATCGTGTTCGGCGCCATTTTGGCTTGGTCCAAAACAAAAAAGAAAATCTGGAAATTTTATTAGCTAACACTGTATCTTGCTCAATTGATACCACGACACTTGTGATTAGTATTTTGTGTTGTTGTCATTTAGAAACAAACCCTCACAATGCTTCAATTTTTCAACTTGGCTTTTCAAGGCACTCCCAAAACACTTAAACGTCAGTGCCGAAAGCGCGCACGATGTCTCTGGGCTTGTTATCCGAACATTCTTTTCATTTGGGATCCGCCGTGATCTGATATTTGAGGCTGACAGGAAGTGACGAGACACACTGACCGCAGAGCCACTGTATGGCGAGGCAAGACGGCGGGTGTCGGCGCTTTGAGTGAAAGTTTTCGTAAGAAGTTCAGAACATACGCACATTAGCACACAATGCTCTTTGCTGTCGGATAACAACCTCACACCCTGGATTTTTACCTCGCTGTGCCCAGGAGGGGGGGTTGCTGGTGTCTGGACCAAACGGCCTAAGCAAAAGCGTAGACTAATTGGCTCTTGGTGTGTGTGTGTGGATCTGTGAATAGACCGGTCATACTTGCTTTTCCGACTTAATTCATAAAGAGATTTTCTTAAATGACAATTCCCACATTATTTTATGAGCGCTTCATACTGATGGTAAGACGCTTTGGCCGTGAAAAATGCGTTACAGAATATATCGTGATTAAAGAGTGGGAACGTATTGCTGTTTGAAGAGAGGTGTGTGTGGGTTTTTTTTTTTTTTTGTGCCTTTTCTAGTGTGCGTCCATGAGCGGTGGGTGGCATTGCCATTTACCGTTTACCGTTCATTTCTTGGTTACGTTTAATTCCTGCTGCTTGCTACCGAAGGACTTGAGCTGGCATTAAATTGGCCGAGCGCATGTTGTCATTCATGCCCGTTTACTTCCGTTAATGTGCCTTAGATCTGTTTGGTGTATTTGAGAAGCACATTAACACACGCCTCTTCCCTCACTCTGTGGGGGCCATGCGCATCATGTCGCATCAATATTTTGAGATAATGAGTGAAAATAGATGATATACAGAGCCCCCGCTGGTTTACTCATGAGCGTTCGAAACTCATTGGCTTGCTCTAATTTAATTTGATGTTCGGAAAGTCCGCGTGCACTGAAAACGAAGCGTCAGCGTACGTACTCGGCACTTCGACTATGCGGCCAGAAGCATAGACGCGTTTCAAGCACAAGATGCTGATTGGTCGAGAAAATAGGCTGCGTACAGAAA